GTTTTACGTAGCACCGACTGCAACTAAACCCAAATAATCGAAGTGGGAGTCTGTTTGCATTAGAAAGCACTAAAAGTTGCTGGAGAGCGGTTGTGAACAGTGTTCTTAGGTTGTGCAGCACTGACCTATCCTTGGGTTTTACGTTACCTGACAACCTCACATGTGGACCATGTTCTGTATAGTGTGTACTAACGGCTGTCTGGATAGTGAGCATAACTGGCAGTTAGCTAAACTGGAAAGATACTCATTGATAACAACTACTCGCGACAGTAGCCAAACTTGCCCCTCTGAGAAACGCTGCTACAGAGTAAACCACAAACTGATTGCCGCTAGGTTTAGCTTAACGAATGGCTGGTATAGGCTCTTCTCACCAACTAAACAAGATGTTACATCAGTTCGCAAATGTTCGAAAGACACAATCCCGACTACCGTTTGCGGTCCATTAGGTTAGGGGCAATTCAACAGCTTGGTGACGGAATCCAAATGCCCATCTAGAGTAAAACATCACCCCGGTGCATACCCACTCAATCAACCATTCACTAACAAAAGTCGTGTGACATTCAACAAAGAATGATCAATAACGAATTACCAGTTTTGTATTTTGGTCCCAGCAGGAAAGTAAGAACGACAAGCGGCAAAAAGATACAAAGGTTAAAATGAACTGGCACCGGATGAATATTTCTGAAAGCTGATCATTGGTACGGGGTCACGGGGAGACGCCCAAAGTAGAAACTACTACTTCTCACGGATGCGATTTGCGTGCGTGTGGATCGCTTGAAAGATGTGAACACCTTTAGAAACAGCTGAGTAGGATAAATTTTGAGGAATCGCGGCTGATTATTGTGACAATTCTTTGGAGACACAGCGCTTGAATGCCCGGAACCGTGTGCTGTCATGGCTCTGTTTCGAAAGACGGGAAAATCGATCATTATAAAGATAATAAATGCTTGGTTATCCATAAAATTCTGCCGGATCCCCTATCACAGTATCAATTCAAGTATACCACTTACCAAGTAAGGTGTCTTGTGCATTATCAAAAATACCTTACAATGCTGAGCCCGTTGGACGCCAAAGAAAGCCGATTAAATGAGTTAGTGAACTGACTTCGGTAGAGAGTAACATTGTCGCAGTAAATTCGTGATCACTATTCAAAAAAGTACGTATTGAGCTGGAATCCCTAACATGTGAACTCCGTTCGCCGAGAACTGATCACTAGCCATCGAAGCATTTTCCGTATTATAAGACAGGGTAAACGTTTAGCGAATGATATCATGCATGGTGGAACATTGCCCTCATAGTATACACGAACTAGATTTCACGGTCACCTGTGCACAACTAGCCACCATAACACAACGTTGTTTGATAGTTGTTCACCACGTTGGATAGTGTAGATGTTAGTGAGCATGGCTGTTGGTCTGTTCACCGAGCTTGACCGTTGGATTACAAAAGTTTCATCACCAATCGAGGTGACATCGTCAATGCGGGGTTGAGTAGATCATAAGGTATATCTTCATATACACCAGAGACGGATAGCACTACGGGCTTTCACGGAAAAGAACACCTAGAGCCGCAAAATCTGGTAGCTTCGTTGAATGCTGAACACACCGCGTCTCGGTCATGGAGATGTGGCACAGGGCTTCGAAGTGAAAATCGAAACATTCGACTTCAACAAACAAAGACTACTCAAGGAGCATAATTTAGATTTTCCTAGTTGTGGATGACGGTACTTTCGGTGCAACGATCGCTTCAACTCCCGGATGTCGAAGTAATTAAACCCTAAAACTAGAGATGATATTAAAGTATCCCGGTTCTAAGGCCACTCATTCAAAGACCGCTTCCATCATCACAAAAAACATCACAGTCGCAGAAGACAGACGACTAACCTAAGAAAACAACTGTTCTGCAACCCACCCAATAGGGCACCACGGAATCCTGCTAGTTTAGTTGCCTTTACCACACCAATTATGGGTTCAGGAGGTAGTTTTGCGGGTTTTCTCCAGGATAAAGAACAGTTTACCCATTGACACTGTTACCAATTTTCAGTATGGCGGTTGCCGGTTTCCACCTAGACAGTGTGACTGAGCATCAGAGGTGCAGCTACATTATTTGTTTGTGCTAGGCCGTTGGTCTCTTCCCTCTCCAGTTCACCTTCTCTACATACCAGAGTTTCCTAAACTAAAAAACTACACGGTAATGTGGAATTGAAGCACCAGCGTTTGAACACTGACTTCGCTGTCAGTGATGACGATGATCTCACCTAAACATACGGTGCAGTAAATGTGGTCCGGCCTAACTTGTCTAAGAAGTGTAGCCCAACTATGAGATTGGACTGAGGCTGAGCAGAGTTCTTTGTGGGAGAAACCGGACGGCCTTCTCGATTTCGCTACCTCTCCGGTTCAGTATTGCTGTGTTAACATGAATGACGCCCTCCACCGTACGTCTGCTGTAGACATCACGATGAAAAGAGAGGAGCTTCCGTGGACGAAAAGATCCAACACACAGCCATATCGAAGGCAAACTTATCTGATATGCACTGACCCGAGTATAAAACTGTCACAAGAATGCGCACGCTCTCGCTGTTGCGACAGCGTGGTTACTGTTAGGAGTTGAAAAGTAAGCACTCCAAGCCATATTCAATGGGACTTCCTGGGATAACCTTAATTACTTTCTCAGAGCAGAACTTATTTGGACGGTCAATAAATATCGACGTAACACGTATTCCTAGGGTGTTCTCTCAGGCTGGACTGAACGAACGAGCACAAGCGCAACGATAACATGCAAGAAAAAACATTCGGACTTACAGTGAACTGAGCACCAGCTATTCCGCGTGCACGTATTGTCTCGATAAACTCATGGTAACTGAGGTGTCCATCACCATCAGAATCAAAAAGAATGAACAAGGTGTCAACCAGGATAGGATCAAGAAACGAACCAGTCACCGCACGAGCTGCGCGTTGAAATTCCTCTGAAAAAACGCGGTTATCGAGAAGCTTACAAACCAGCGTGAGAGTAGAGAACTGATAGTCTATTACGCAGCTATAGGTTTGTGGGTGACTCTTTCCTATGACTGGCAACATTGTTGAAAACGACAGTAATGTAAAATACCAAATTATGGTTGTCCACGAGCAACAGCGTACAATGAGGCCTAACGGTTCACGAAAGCGACACTTCTATAAGGGCATTCACGCTAACATGGGATCTAGCGTGCTGTGCTGAGCACGTAATTTTGAAATGCAACCCGACCTGCAGCCCTAGCAATGAACATAGCTAACCGAATCCATTGTACTAAAAGCCGACAGTTTGATTAATTAAGTGAAAATAATCGTTCAGTAGAGACACCTTTTCGGTGCAGAATTGCCATTCCACCCGAAGGAAGCATGAGGAATGAGACAAAGCCAGGTTGCCCACACCTAGAAAGGAGCAACCGAGACACTAACAATGGATTCGAATGACGGGCCTTCCGGTTAGTAGGTTCGCGTTTAAGCAACTCAGCTAACCGGAGCTCAGAAGACTGATATCGAAGGATCACCCTTGAGTCAGACCGAGGATTCCAGAACCCTCAGCCAGCTTCACCGGGTTTGGCCTGTTTTTCGAACCGATGAATCAGGTTGCGACGGAGAGCGCACAAAAACGACAATATCCAGACGAAGATTCGGAGTTTAACGTCAGATGAGCACCAAGGAACGATGCAACTTTACAGGTAGATGGAGTGACCCAACAGCCATAGGTGCTATCCTGAAGTGATATCGGGATATGCAGTAACATTTATAGTCGACTCGTGTATCACAAAGCACGTATGCCTACAAACGAAATGTGGTGTGTTCAATTACACTTTCACTCCTAACTGGTGACGCCAATAAGGATAATCAAGTGCAGTCAGGAGGATCTAACATCCTCATTAACAAAATGTTGGCAGAAGAAGCTAGAAGTCGAAGAACGATTGTTGGGCGTTCTGAAAACAGGGCGGTATCATTCTCAGGAATGTGTGAGGGAAAGGCGTCCGTATTGAACAGCAGTTTTGAGTACAAAACAGACAGCCGTAGGCACAGTGAAAGTAACTTCTACTGAAAATTGAGTAAGGTATGCAGTACAGATCAACAGCCACCTGATCAAAGATCAATAAACTCACCCAAGCTACCAATATTTCAACACATTACCACCTTCGTAAGCCCGGATCTAAACAACCAACTCAAAAAGTAAGTAGGCCATTGACACAGAAAACGGACAACGCACTTATTAGGTCATAATTCCATAACTGCGTTTTAATGAGAAGAGAAACACTCTTCGTTTACAAGCCTTAACCTGAGACGATCCAGTAACCTAGTTCACAAACCAAGGCACAATGCCAACGATTTGCCACGTCGGTTGGATTTTAGAATTCACAGGAAGTAAGGATGACAAAACACTGAGGACGCCCTCGAAAAGCCTTACGAGAATTACAGTCAATAAGACTCCTGGTATCCTCAGCTGATGCCAAAATGTTCCAAACAAGTCTAAAGGTGGTACACAGTAACCAATTCATATTAGCTGAATTATTATTCAGCTAATTTATTACTATTCATATTAGCTGAATCATAGCACAGCAGTTGAGGTCCATTATCATGAACCACAGCTGTGGCGAAGATATAGTAGTATGATTGCCGTTATCGTTGAATCATAACCTCTAAACACTGTGTACACACTGAGAGCCTCTTTTGAAATCCACGTGCGATACAAACTGCTCACGTTATTATTCCTGAACTTTATAGGATTGGCGACACGCCTGTGTAGATTCCGCCGGCATAAAATACAAAGATCACTTTAGATCCCTATTTTCGGACATCGCCACCACCTTAACGTAAAGACTGCAAGTGTTTAGTTCAGTGCCACCAAAATCCTCAAAGTTACTCACAAGAGTTCGAAACCTCCAGCACTAATGTTTAATAATAAAAACTATGAAGTACAACATGAAAAATCTCACTTACCCTTGGAAATGCTGTGTTTGGCAATCGCGAACATCTTCAGAGCCGAAGAAAAGTCTTCAATCACATATAAGAAGTTAAAAAGTGATTTGTATGCCTCAAATCCAATAGTCTGCAGAAAAAATATGATCAGAAAGGCCTATTACTTTTCCTGCCAGCGAAGCACTGTTTGCGACTGTTTCCAGTCTCTTGGTTGCCAATTCGGGTTTTTGTCGTGCAAAACGGAGCACTGACTGTGCCAGTTCCGATGGAGATAGGGACTGTTGACTAGCACTGAAGTGGTCGAACTCAACACGTAGCAACTCGATTTGCAAGTTAGAAACAAACCTAGCCAATGAATAAGCGAACTGACTCACTTAGCGAAGTCTTCGAAACGCAATTTATTTGAGCCTGATTTACCGAAAAAGTGCTGAACTAGCGTAGTTTTGGTACCGCCAGACGTGTACTAGGAGGATAGAAATTAAATTCCGGAGACTAACATTTGCTTTTTCAAAACCGCTAGAAAAGGAGAAAATTTTTGTTATCTGAATTCAGTAAGGAATTGATCTGTTCGGTTACCTTCAAAAATTCATTCAAATCCACCTGAGCATTCCGATCCTTATCAAACATTTGGAAGGCAATATAGAGACTAGGTTTCGGTTCTATGGAAATAAGCGAGTGTTCAGTGAAACTCACGTGTGAGGACGGAAGTCAAGAACATGTATTCGGTGAACGAGATCAATCCGCTGACACCCAAATCATGGAAAAACGATGAATTGGAATGGGAAAGAGATGGTGTCGTTTTCACAGCAGCGAAAGCCTCTGACTGTGTCAAAACACGCCGCCCGAAACATCCTGTACAATGGTTGGAACACACTTGAAACTTACGAGGTTCCCCAAAGCCAGATGAACATTTTATGAAATCAGCTGGTGTCATGTATACCACACCGTCCACCTCTACAGAAGCATATCTGAGAAATTTTTCGTAGTAACAAGGCTGTATATGTTAAAACAAAACGAAGTGAGAACCTGAAACTCGAGAGTGTGCGGATCCAATTCCGTTACGCTATTGTAGGTTTCTGCAATGACTTTTGGAGGATTTCGGGCATAGTAGGATGCTGCACCAATGGCGAAGACTGCTGAAGATAGGACCCGGATGTCATATTTGAGTTTGGGGGTGGTATTTAGCAGTCTATAGGCATAGCGAATGAGTGTTCGGATCGGGAATCTAACCGACATCTAGTCTGGAAAGACAAAAATGAGAGAACGAATAAATAGATCCTACAATGCAATAAACCGTGGTAAGCAAATGGTAATCAGCGATTTGAGAGCGAATCAACACGCTCGACAGTGCAAGCGACATGCAGCGTGATGCCCTATTGTCATTTACGTTACCCTCCCAATAAAACCGTAGATACCAGAAAAGATTGGTATATTATTGGAAGCTACTCTGCCTCTGGAACGCAGCTCACCACCCGTGGTAAACTTCCCAAACCTGTACGTAAGTCACCACAAATACAAGGATACGCAGATGACTTGAGATTTCCATCAACTGAAAAATGAATTTCAATTTATGTTTCAACTCAGAATTTGGTCTGTCAGAGAGCAGGCCGTATCATGTTGTGTGAACCAAACCCTGGAGAGAGGGACAAACTGGTTGCTTACCGAAAGGAATAGCTCCAGCTAAGCGGTACCCAGGTCAGGTTAAGGGAAAAATAATTCACATGGACGCCAACCAACAGTCCAACTCAGCATCCTGTGGTGTTTAGGTCATGCCGTATTTATATGGCAATCGGCACGAGTCACGTCTTCCCACACGTTTGTTTCGAACAGCTTGTACCAGCAGTAGCTGTGAGCCTGCTTGACTTGCACGTTTTTTCACATTCTGTGACTAACTATTGACGTATCACACCATTTGTGTGGCTCGCATATCTACCTGCTACACTGGGACGGAAAGCGTATACTGCAATTTCATTCTGTCTACTGGGGTCAGGTATATCATGTAAGGGAACTAAGTAGAACATGTCCGTTGAGCAGTGAAACCCAGAACCCTAGAAAATACAGTTACTAAGACTTCAGATCGTAGTAGCTACTGTTCTTAAATTTCCAGGGTCCCAATAGTGTCAGGTTACAACTCAACAGCCGCTACTCTAGATCGGTATGCTTATACGGACAGAGGGATTATGGACAATGCACGTGCTGATCAGACGGAGGCAGGAAGATTACAGCTGTTGCAGCGAAACACGGGGAAAAGCTTACTGACCAAGTAAGAGAATCTCCGGGCGGCACACAATTAAAAACAAACGGTCTTGATCTAATGCATATCGGGGTAGATGAGTAACGTGATGATTCAAAATGTAAGCCGGTCCAACAAAGAGCGCCACAGCCCAAATGGGCAGCAATGATGAGCTACAATGTAGGAGAGAATAGTATTAGATAAAACAATCAAGATAAAAATGTTCATTTGGGAGCGGCGTTCTTGGCAGCTGCATTCTAAGCTAGCAATCATTGAGCCTCAATCATAAGTTGACATGCAGCGGTTTAACATGAGTCCGAATGCGACCAGTTCGTCGTATGGGTGTACAAATATTTGGAGCACTTCGAACCACACTCGATCCGAGGGACTCAAGTCTTGATGAAAGTTCGAAATAGTCCAACAAAACATCGAGTAGCAAAAATTGAGTCGTGTGTGTAAATCACAGAGAGGAGTGAAAGACGCAACTGGTTTACACGAAGCACCCAGAGGGAGAAATGCACATCCACTTCGTCTGTTAAATTTCCGGTGCGACGCAAGATACAGCCTTGTATCCACTTCACGAGACCAATTCGGAAAACCTTTGTCAGCATATACTGACCGGGCACAAGCAAATGATTGGCGACATGGTGACGAAGATTAAATTTTGACGCTACAGTGATGTTACTATCAGTCGCAAAATGTGAAGCGGGACGGATGATGTAGACAGACAAGCGGATTTCCCCACTAAGCAGTGCCTCTACCGGCGAACTACTGTTTGACGCGTTGGTGATCGGTGTTAATCTGGAGCTTAGCAGAAGCGTCAAGATGTCTTCCGGTACGGTCTCTTCTTCGAGTTTCCATTGTGCCATCTGGAAAGTTGCAGAAATCGCCCCACCTGGTCATTGGATTGATGATGGGATTGTAAAGGTGTGCCCTCTGAGCTTGCAAATTTTTTTACCATTTCCCCACCTGGTCATTGGATTGATGATGGGATGGGGATGTGCAAATACGTTGGATACCGTTATGTTGACAAGGTGGAAAGTTGTGTGATCCGAATCATGAGAAATAGCTCCAACCATTTATTGCAGGCGTCTGATAGAAGCAGGCAGTATTATCTATTGATTAAACCGGTGAAGTCTACACGGCGTAGTTAGCACGGAATCTTCGGCACAAGCCATAAGTGAAATCCTGTTCGCCGATGGGATTCAGATGATAATAGACATTTGAAGACTAAATGAGTTCATCCAGCTGTTTGCGAATAATGGGCCAGCAAACATAGCTAGACGCTTCATAGCATTATTCCGGGGTGTCCAAGGTGCAGTCGTTTACTGACTGCGTTTCAGTTTTGGAAGCACGATTACACATTGTAGCGTAGCAGAAGTGACTGGAAGTGCTCCAATAGCAGCAACCCGTACAGTGTCCAATTCCGGCACGACCGTTACCAACATGTCTTCAAGTTGTTTTCAAGTTGTTTCTGCAAAGAATTCGCCAGTCTTGACAACGCACGAAACCGACCTACGGTATCAGCTAACCGGCATTTGACAGATAAATCATCACCCCGATGCACGGTTGCTCAGCGTCTGAAGCAATTGGTTATGTAAAATGGATACCTTCCTTTACCCTGATATCACTGATGAAGGGTGTTGTCAGTCAGATGAGGCCTACACAGCATTTTCAGGGCTAACACAAGTACCAAGACTTTCTTCTCGATATGGACATAGTTACACTGAATGGGCGTTAGGGATCCGGCTGTGCCATAAGACACAACGACATCCATAACTGGATCGAAATAAGTGAAGAATAGGTCAAAACTAAGCGGTATTAGTAAATTGTTAAATGCAAACCGGCATTTGTGTACCCATCCCCATGGCAAAACATTTTTTCAGGGTGATTTAATGATCGGCGAGCAAGATAACCGGTAAAAATGAATTATAATGGCTTACCAGGTCAGATCGAGATTCATTGGGGTTGGCATCTGTTGTATAACGACGAAAATCGAGTCCCCGTATCGTGAGAAATCGTACTACGGGGCAGTCTGAAGGTAAAGTGGTACTGTCGTCTGTTATGGGAATATGAAGGCAGTAAGGTGCTTCTCCAAGGCTATTAGCATGTCTATATTTACGGAAGCAGCGCTGCTGCCTTCCCCCGAGGAGAGGTTCGGCCCTAAAATCCGCACACACCGATAGGCCAACGGTTGACTGTGATCACCAGCGCATTATTCAACCCCGTCAAAATACATTCAAAACCAAAGAGACTGCACCTGCAGTAAGCGGCCGCATTAAAAGTGAGGCAGTGCTTTCTTACTCCCTGAGTGCTTAATCCAGGCCAAACTTCGGCAGCCAAGTTGGTCAGACTATTGG